CTACTGTCAGACGCTGGGACTCCCTCCCCTCCCCGCAACTTTGTATCGCCCTTCTAGGGGAAGCCGGGCACCCCGAGATGGGCCACCCCCTTTACGTGTGTCCCTAAACGCTGCCAAGGAGGCTGAAGACACCCTCCTTCTCTCGCGACAACCGGACGTTGTTAATGCCTGTAAAATTCGGGCCGGGCCTGACAAGCCATGGTCAATAAGAGAGGAGGAGAGAAAGTCAGCGGCTGGAAATCCCGACAGAAACAACACTATAGTTGTACATGGGATTCCAGAGTTGTCAAGTGACCGCTCGGTTAAAGATCGGCACTTTCACGACGTCCAACAATGGCATTGGCTCTCAACCAAAGCTGGTCTCGACAGTGTGCCGGCCAACAGCGCCAGTAGACTGCCAAGGCCAGCGTATCTGAAGTCCATACCCAATCCCAGACTACTCGCCGTCCAGTTCGACTCATATGCCCCCCTCACAGACGTTCTACACGCATGGTATGATGCGAAAGATCGCATGGGTGGCCCAATGCGTATGTGTGAAAGTAAGCCTAGACCCGCAAGGCAAGAGGAGAGTCGGCAACCACCAAGACCTCTGGAGCCAGTGGTCGTCACACAGGCGCTGACCAGTGAGTTAGATACATCAAGTAAAGAAGCCACCACTGCCACAGTCCCCACCCAAGTTGAAAACAAAACAAGAAAAACGGGACAATGCCCGTCCTATGAGGACTGGCGACGCTAGACCCAACCACGTAAGCGCTCATCCAGCGAAAATACACAACCAGCTCTCCCCTCTCACAAGCCACACTCTAATATGTATGCACAGCAACGTTAGGGGCTAGGAGGGAAGGTGGCCGAAATGAGGAATGTAACGTCCAGAATCCAGTAACCTTGGCCTTAACGTGAGAAATAACTAGGCGGTGCTAACTGACGTGAATCTGACTAGTTCCTGCGTTCTACTGTATAGCTTCCTAACTTCCGCGAGTGACGCACAGTCAAAGGTTGGATTGAAATATCAAAACACGGTTTGCAGTAATTCAATAGTAGATTCGTAACAAAATCTGTGGTACTATCAAAGCAACAATAAGTTATATCAAATTACAAAAATACCTCAACGGTGCCGTTGGGTAACTATACAGTCTGAAACGTTCTCGGGTACAAATACGTACTACACGGTAAAAACTGGTTAAAAAATACAACTGTTAAATACCTGTCGGTCAATAGGAATATTCCCTGCAAAAGGGATCAAAACTCTGCCTACAGGAATCAAATCAACAAACAAACGTTCCCAGTAGACAGTCAAAAGACACAGTCAAATCACTGCACAACCGTAAGTTGAACCAAAACAAAATGTCGTGCGCAGTAAAACAACATCACCTTATCAACAGTCCAGCGTCACATAATAGGAAAGTGAAACACTCATAATAAGTCTCAAACATACGAAGGCAAATACCGAGTGTAAAGTCAAATAAGACAGTTAAACAAGCAAATAACATTACACCGGCGAGGGTTAAAGGTACACCATCCATAACGAGGGTAAAATTGTTAAAATAAATGTCAATACAATCAAATAACGGTGGTCGGGAGGGATTTTCAGATCAATTTTCCGTTACAGAGGAGCTGCATGAACATCAGCACTCTGACATCATTTTCATCACCGAATCCTGGCTCTCGCCAGACATCTCCGACGAGGAGATACATGTTACTGGCATGGAACTCTTCCGTAGGGACAGGGAGCACAGGGCAGGAAGGGGAGTGGCCCTCTACGTAAACTCCCGTTTAAAGGCAAGGGTGGCTAGCGATACGGCCTTAACCCGGCTCCCGGAGTCTCCATGGTGCTACTTCAGTCTCCACCGTACCAAATACCTGCTCGGAGTCATATATCGGTCCCCCACCAGCTCCCCTACATATGAGGAAATGGTCATCAAGGCGATCTTAACGATTTCCTCCGCAAATTACGATTCCGTAGTCATTGCCGGCGACTTCAACACCCCGTCCACCCTCTTCAAGACGGAAGGGAGACGCATCAGATCCTTCAGTCAGAAGCTGAAGGATGCAATTAAGACTGCTGGCCTCCCAGAGAAAGTGGGTGATGCTACGCGCTGGGGACCTAACGGAAACGCATCGCGCCTTAACTACGTTCTGACGAACGAAGAACTTCTCATTGAGGACGTCTGTATCCAACCTCCCCTTGGCCTCAGTAACCACGCCGTAATCACCTCCTCCATGACAACTAGAGAGGCTCTGCAACTGGAGACGTCCAGCACCTTCCCTTGCTACAGCAAGGCCAACCATGAGATCACGAGGGACTACCTCATGAATGCATCATGGTTGGTAGACTGGATTCATCTCGCAGTAGACGAACACTGGTTGGAGGTGAAGAAAATAATCACTGGGGCCATCAGTCACGGTGTGCCAGAAGTGACACACAGACAATCAATGAGAACCTCATGGTTAAAGCGTGGGACAGAGAGGCTTATCCAGAGCAGGAAGCAGGCTTGGTTCAAGTGGCGTACATCACGCAGGGAGTCTGACTTCTTGAACTACAAAAGGATTCGCAACCGCTGTAACATTGGAGTGCATAGCGACAGATTATCCTGTCAAACAAACTTGGCGGCGAGGTTTCGAAGCAATCCCAAAAACTTGTACCACTTCATGTCGAGAAGAAAGTCGACCAGTAAGGGAGCACTGACACACTGATACAAGGTCCACACCGACTCGCTACGACACCAACCAGGTCGTGAATAACGAATACCTCTGTCACGCCTCTATTACAGAGAAAAAAGCGTTCGAGAAACTATCTGGGCTACGTCCAGGCAAGTCCCCTGGCTGCGATAACCTAAAACCAGCGATCCTAAAAACTGCACCAAGGTGCTTACTCAACCACTTCACAACCTTTTGAACACTCAATAGAGTCGTGCAAACTCCCTAAAGAACGGAAGAGCACCATCTTGTCACCCATCTTCAAGACAGGAGACGGAAAAAGCCCTGGCAGCTACAGGCCAATTGTTCTACTCCCTATTGTGTCGAAAGTGTTGGAAAGCCTGGTAGCTGACACCATCTGGGAATTCCTCAATAGGGAAAACACTGTCAATACTGCTCAGCATGGCTTTCGGAGTGGTCGCTCATGTGCCACCAACTTACTAACCGCCTGGGACGACTGGACACAAAGCTGGGATAACAGAAAACCGGTACATGTTGTATTTCTCGACCTAGCCAAAGCATTTGACAGTGTCCCACCCACAGTACTGCTTCACAAGATCATGTCAGCTGGTATAAGTGAACCCTTACTCTCTTGGTTCAAGGAGTACCTGGAAGGGAGGCAGTTCTGCACTAAAGTGAACAGAATAAGGTCGGAGTGGAGACCCTCGACGTCAGGAGTATCCCAAGGAGCAATCCTAGGACCGCTTCTGTTCCTCCTGTTTGTCAACGATCTGCCAGATAAAATATCCTCACCCATCCTCCTCTTCGCTGACGACATAAAATTTTGGAGGGTGGTAAACGAAGAAGCCGATTGTACAGCGCTACAAAAGGACTTGCAGCAACTCGAGCTCTGGTCGTCGGAAAATGGCCTGAGCTTCAACCTGGAAAAGTGCAAAGTAATGCACATCAGTAAAAATGAGCAAGTACGACCGACTTCCAGTACATGTTGAGCAACCGTGCTATCACCAGAGTGTCCATGGAGAAAGATTTGGGGCTCAACTTCTCCGACACCTTGGACACCAGCTCCAACTACAAAGGTATGACAACCAGAGCGAACGCCATTCTACACTTTCTGCGTAGACAGCTTGGCGCCCTCACTCCCGAACTCTTCCTCACCATTTTCAAATCCTACGTGCGGCCGCATCTAGAGGTCTTCAATACGGTGGCTCCTCCAACACTCAAGAGAGACTCTAATCTCCTTGAAAGAATACAAAGAACTGCAACAAAATCTGTAGTGGGGCTAAGGGGAAAAACGTGCCTTGAAAGACTTCAACACCCAAACCTATTTACCTTGGGTTATCGCAGGAAAAGGGGTGACCCTATTATGGCATACAAGATCGCCTATCAGGCAGACCATGCAAACAAATCAATTTTGCCTGCAACTCAACGATCTTCACGAGGAAACCCCATTAAAATGGCACACCAGAGAGCCAACACCATACTCAGGTCCAAATGTTTCTCCCTAGGAGTGTATGCTTTATGGAATGCCTTACCGCGACATATCGTTATAGCTCCTCAGTCGACTCATTCAAGAGACGATTAGACAGTTATGTCACCTCGCATGGACTACCATGGACGTGCCCAGGTAGTCACCAACCTCAGTACCCCCAACTCCCTCCTAACTACCACTCACTATCTCCCTCCTTTATACACCCACATTACCTACTAATTCTTCCGTAGGAACCAAGCCCATGCGGCCACTCGCGCAATTCCCAAATACTTTTCTTTCGTTCTCATCTCTCTTCTCAACCCTCCTTTTCTTCTCCTTCCCTTTTCTCTTCCCATATTATTACTTTTTCTTCTTTCTCCTCTCTTTTTTATTCTCTCTTCATGCTTTTTGCCACTACCTTACTATTCCCTTTCAGGTACCTACACAGACAGGAGTCACTGCAGTTCCCCAAACCTCCCAGCAACCCGTAGCTCCCCAATCACTCTACAAATTACAACTTAATAACCCACGAAATATTCACCTCATCGGAGCTAAAAGCAGGAAAGCAGAGGGGATTTCCTCGTCCACTGCAGGAGTGAACCGAACAACCCGAACCAAGCCCTAGGAACTAGACGCGAGAGATCAAAAACTACCAGTTTTCTACGTTCGCACTATCAATATTGGATGTTGGAAGGCAGTTGCAGATCCAAAGGAACCGTTGTTAGCTGTTTTACGGCGAGAATCCTGTATTTTTGAAGTTTGTTTTACAACAATATCCAACCGACAATAATCCTTGAAAGTGAAACTGAAATCTTTCTGGGTGGGCGCGTCATACCCCTCTTGCGGTGCCTCAAGGTGATATCAAGGACTTGGGATGGAAGGTGGTTATAAGCCTCAAGGCCGTATTCGTTACCAAAGCGTCAGCGGCGAAAAGTACATGGTAGTCTGGGATAACCACAAGGTACTGATTCATATCCTTAATTTTTCGTATCTGTCAAAAGTCACTAGTGTATACACCCTAATATACCGTTTTCAGGAAATTCTAGGGGAAAAAGTATAAAACTTTTGGGGGAATTCCGGGGAAACGCAGCAGTTTACCTCTATCTTCCTCTTTCATACGAAAACTCCCATGCACATTCTACGAGAGTGATAATGCTTTCATTCATGAACATGTGCATATGTTGCATAAAAACGTTTTACGCTGAAGTTCTTACTAATAGCTCTTACTAGGACTGCGGAACCTTCATTACCCCGTCATTCATTCAAAACTTGGAATTTCACCCATTTCCCTTAAGTTTCCTCAAAACACGAAGACTTTGGCGTACTGGGCAACTATCTCCTCAGTCTCCCCAAAATAGTATGTTAGGGACATATATATATTTTTAAAGAAACCTTCTTTCAAGTATCTTTATATCTCCCTTTGCTTTTCTGATGTCATTAGCATCCGTGGAATAGTAGGAAGACTATGTTCTGCAGTTTTGGCAGTTCAAACATCTGACTGTTTTGGTAATTACTAATTAATTTATTTTGAAACAAACCTCAAGTCATTGTTGCCGTTGTATATGTTGACATGCACAACATATATGTGAGTCTATGCGTCTTCTTTTACTCATAATCCCTATTACACAGCAAGAAAGCGGACCTATTGGGTTATATATGCATCCAAACCATACCCAGCTGCGGTTCTCTTGACTAATATGTAGTACTTGCCTATCTAATGGCATGTATCCGGTCATCACTTTCGTGAAGCTAGATATTGGGTCGTATTGATCAAAGCAGTAATTGAAATTTCTTGAGGTGCATTATCCACTCCCGCATGGGTTACGGGGTCCAACCCTTCCCAACCTACATAGGTCTGGGTAACCAGGTAGTATCATTAACCTTCATACAATTCGTATGGCTCATTGTTTACTGTATGCAATGCACTGGTTCATCATCTGCTTCACCATTAGCTGCTTCATCACCACCGTCAGTTTCCGTGTCTCCGTAGAGATCCATTCCTTGTCTTGTTTCTTCTTCCTTCCTAACACTGTTAAGCAGGTTTCTTTCCACATAGCTTTCAAAGCGTTCCAGTGTTCTTCAACACAGGTTTCTTCAGCGATGGTACTTAATATCTCCCATTTTGTCTTGATGGCTGACGTGAAGATATCCTTTGTAATTTTGTCCTTCAGTTTCTGTTCTGGGTGTTGAACTTGAACTGTGGTCTGTCATCGAGGTGGGGTTGCTAGCCCTATGCCTGACCTTCCCTCTTTATTGGGGCTTAGGACCAGCTAGTAAACTAGGCGAGGTTGGTCTTCATCCACTCTTGGTTTAGTGATAGGGAGTGAAGTGTTGGAATGTTTCGACTACTTTACTGACTTGGATGTTGCATTAACCCGAACGGGTTGGTTGCTGATGAAGTCTCAGGTTGGATACAGAAGACCTGTTTGGGATTTGTCGATATGCGTCACCTTTGGCGCTGACTGTTGAGATATCTGACTATCTATCAGGGGACGAGTATACTGCACTGTAGTCCGTTGTGTCCTGTTGTACAGCTATGAGGCAAGTCCGTCAAAAGTAGAAGACACTGAACGGCTACAGGTTTTGGGTCACAGGTTTCCTCGTAGTATTGCCCTCATATATGATGGGATCACCACGTGAGCGGTGTCGAAGTTAGGTGAAGGGCACTAGGCAAGGGAGGGAAGTCAGTCGATAAAGTTGTGAACCTTCAGCGACTGAGTTGACGAAGGTGTATTGCATCTGCCGTCTTCTAAAGCTTGAACATTTTCAATGACCCTTATCTTCAAATTGTTCTTTCTCACACACTGCTGTAGCAACTCGAAGTGATACAGTTGTGCACGAGGTTCAGTGTTAATTTTTCCTGTCAGCATACTATAAAGTAAAGGATCTCAGTTTCAGACTGATTAAACAATCCTTGAAATTTAATGAAAATTTGTTTTGGTCATTGTATTTGTTAACATCTTTCTTAAATGATGTGTCATTCTGTTACATTTTGCGCATTAGCTTTTTGATCTAAATGGATGTATTTTTTCAGATAGTCTGGAATAAATATGAGGAAAATTGAAATAGTTTGGTTTAGTTCATCATTGCGTACATCTTGGAAACATTCACACTTGTCTGAAAAGTAATGTATTTCTATAGTGAAGATATGACTTCCTAAGCGGTGTTATTTCACATTATTCTTGAAAGTTGGCAGCACTGAGATCCGCATTATTAGCTGGTGACTCATAATAATGCTTAATTTATGAAACAGGTGTGCTGCTCATCACCTTCAGTGTACGGCTTTAAAAATACTCATGCATGCAGTTGCTTCATTATATTAATGATTGTCTATTAAAGGTTAGGTGTACTGTGCTACAGTTCTCTCTGTTCCACTGTATGCCTGTGAAACATCGTCGCTAAAAGTAGAGAATATGAGAAGGCTTTAGATACTTGACCACAGTTACCTTCACAGCATGGGCAGTGTGTCGTTGTGTCACTGTGTCGGTAACGTATAAGTCAGGTGTAGAGTTTTAGGAAGAAGAGAGAAGTTAGTTGATAAGGTTGTCAACTTTCATTGACTAAAGTGACTTAGACATTTGTTACGCATGCCTTAGTGACTGTTTGCCTCTTCTCAGGATGTTAGCTGAAATAGGTTAAGGCTGGAAAAAAGTTAGAGGTGGTGAAACTAAATCATTGCATCATTACTTGAAGTGTTTGACTACTGATCTGAGCCATGTAGGGAAATGTAAGCTTCCCGTTTGGGGTCCATGTGTCATTAGACTATTGGAGACAGACATGGCTCATTATTTTCTTACTCCTCCTTGCTCTCTTCTGATAACTTTCCACCACTTTGGATCTCTTCTCTATTGTCTTTCATCTCAGTGATTTCTCGCTAGATATGCTAATATGAGGCATGGCAACTTGGACAGTTACTTAGTAATCCCTGGTCCTATGTTGATCTTGTCTATCTATCCGTCCCTGGATCAATGAAAATACAGACCGCGTTTGATACAAAAGGTTTAATAAGTTTTTAAAAAAACCTCAAACAAAACCACTATTTATTATACTGTCGTGCTGATAAGCCTTTTTTTACAAAAATGGGTGGATAGTCAGTAATCAAGTCAGCACAATTCCACTCCATCAAAGAATATCCAATGACGTGACTGAAGGAAATTTAAGGTCATAGAGGTCAGGGTGTGGTATAAAATTTCTTCCCCAACTTACAATTAGGCAACATCCAAGGTCAATAAAACACTATCCAAACATTCGTGTAACATTCGAATATGTTTCACTTCTTTATGAAGTTAATGCTGAAGATGTCACTAAACCTAGTAGTGATGAAACGTTCACGACAAAATATTAGAGCTCAGAGTATAATCATCCTGATCCTTAGCTACAAATCTTTTCCATCAATTTAATATTGAGGTTTTATGTAACTTTTCTCACAAAAAGTTAGTCTTGGTTATGAATACTAATTTTCTTTATTGACTACTAGGTTTGCTCGTAGGTGTCTTCGTCAATCAGTCAGCATTGACATACCACTTGTTATTAATACTTTATAGTCCAACTTGCTACACATATCAGCAAATTAAGGTTACTATTATTATTTGTCCCTTGGGTCCTAGTGGAATATAGGGCTTCAGTAGCACGTCGCCATTTCACTCTCTTCTCTGCAGTCTTTTTAACCTGGATCCACGACAGCCCAGAAGCTCTCATTTCTTCCTCACACATTATCTCCTCCGTGTCACCCTCACCTCGGACACCCAACTCTTCGTGTCCCCTTTGGGTTCCACTCGAGTACCGGGCCTGGTGCATGATGTCTTCAAACGTCTTCCCAGTGTATGCCCAATCCATCTCCACTTTCTTCTGCATATTTGTTAGGCTATGGTTTCTTGGTTGGTTCATTGTCAGCCGGAGTTTACTTGTTGCTTATTATTATTATTATTATTTTTCTGGCCATCTAAACTTCAGTATCGAGCCATCAAAATTTGAAATAGAAAAACAAAGCGGGAAGCAACATTGCTTACATCCAATGGAACCACTATGAAAGCAATGTTTTAGCGCAGAGTGTTTGGCAAAAAAAGAAAGTCAATCGATACAGCTGAGAGTCTTCATTAACTGAAGTGGCTTACACATGTGATATGTATTCTCATCCTGCTGGCATACTGGCTTCTATACAGAAGATATTTGCTACCATCACGTTCCTTCTTATCCAGCACACAGTGTAAGCCACTTATACTATGACGGTAACTACTTTTAGTTTTACCACTATCCAACCGATCTTGCAGACAAAGTAAACCTTCAAGAAGCAACCACTTTAACCATCATAATTCAGTCAGTCATTGCAATATACAGGAGCAATCATCACACGGAGGTACTATGTATCAGTTATTAAGTGTGTAATACAGGCGGGATTCAAACCAATATCCTTACCTAAAAATTCTAAGGTGAGGATGATAATGGATGGTTTGGTTTTCTCTAAACTTGATACCTTGTCTTGAACCCTCATAGCATTGCTCGTGTATAGTGGAAGCTCCATATGGGCAATGTCGAGGTTATGCTAAGAGCAAGTCAGTGAATACAGTTATAAACCTTCAGGGGCTGAGGTAGCTTGAAATACGTTGCACATGACGAACCACCGCTCACCTGGACATATAATGCTAGTAGAAGTTGGGTTAGGTTGAGAAAAAGCTCAGGATGGTCAAATTAAGACATTGCACCAGTGCTTGAAGTTTCTAACTGTTGGTCTAAGCCATGTAGGGAGATGGGAGCCCAGGACCATAGGACTCGGCGGTTAGGATTGTTGGTGAAATAGCTGAAAATCGGTCAGATTTATTCACTCGTTTGCGTCTTCTAAAGCTTGAATATTTTCACTAACCTTCATTTTAAAATTCCTTGTCCTCCTATACACCTTCGTTTACTTTGATATCAGTCTCTTTCTGTCCACTTATACTGTTCATGGTACTTTGAAGTATGACAACTTCAACGGATTCACATGTATATGAGGTTCCACGTTAACTTTGTATGTCTGTCAAACCTTCCATCACCAAGTTTAGTAACTTCATCAGTACTGACTTGTTTATGGAGTTAGGAATTGTCATCACTTTTGCGTTGGCTAAGATTTTTGCACATCATGGCATCATATAAGCAAAAGAAACAAGAGCAAGGAAGTGAATAAAGGAGACAGCCAACAGATGATGAGTGATATAATGTTATTTACCTGGAGTTATTCCAACTAGAGACTGCTAATATTGACTTCGTAGTGAAGCAGCTTATCTTTCCCCATGTTGTTCAAACTAAACGGTCAGCGAGTCCAGTTAAACGTTTTTCGGAGATTGATTTCCCTCATGGATCGATAACCAGCTGAAGAACTACTGAAAACCTGAAAGCAACATCAATGCATAATCAATACCACTTTGACGTCATGTTCGTATCCTATCGTCTTGGTGTTTAGTTGCCGTTATCACGTGTATCCTATTTGATGTTGGTGAATAAGTTATGTTTGATTAGTTTTTGTATCCTACTTGGAGAGTGTGGGTGGTTGACACTTCCCGACTGCCCACACCATAGAAGGCTAGTTCTTCTTGAGGTACCTGAAAAAGAAGGAATAGTGTGCAACCGCAGAGCCCAAGGGATATCTGTTTGAAAGTGAAACTATCTAGGTATTTTTCATTCGGATCCAACTATGAACCCTCTATCAAAGGTGTGAGGAGTGAGGGTTTGTTATTTTAATGGTCGAAATGTTATAACCCGCTCTATTTACCATCGGAAAGATAGAAATAACATGGCGCTGCTAGTCATCCATGAGAAACGACTTATTATTAACATAACCCATCCGGTTAGCAGCAGTACAACTTCACCCTCAAACCCCCATTATGGCATAGAAGTAACACTAAAATGGAAACTGCTTTTCGTATAACCCCTATCAATATCATCATTATTATTAAGGTATTCCATTATGAAATATTTATTGATTACATATTTGCATTTAAATTATTGTTATTCAGTTGTTTTTCTTCGCTTCGCTTACTGTAGAGTATGCATTACTAATTATTATGTATCTGTGTGTACGTACACACCTTTTTTCGTCTTTCTTTCCTGTCATACGATCGTGAAGTGAAATTTTTTTTGATCATCTAACAAAGGTTTATATTCGTTTGTTTACTTATAGATTTACTGATTGTTTCCTCTGTGAAAGGCGAGAAACACTTTCTGTTTAGCATAGGTTTATTGCATTTAGTTGATTAGTATAACAGTCTCCTCTAATATATCGTATCCGCTACAAGTAGTCACTTTCCTTGCTAAGTGTCAATCGTCAAGTTCTCGATGGAAGCATTTAGTAAGGATGAGAAAACAAGACTCATCTTTATCTTGTTATCTCTCGCAGCCACTTTCTCTTCTCTCTTCCTTCTTCCTTACTCTATTTTACTTCCAAAAGTGAAATGAATAAATTGTGTTATGTTAGTTGGTTATGGGCAATCGACAAGAAACTCTTGACCTAGGTTTCGTACTTGTCGGCACTCATCAGTAAGGAGTATCTGCAACTTCGACAGAACTGATGTCCAGCCTGAGGTTCGAACCCTCATCACCCAGTGTTGTAGTCAGCAACTTTACTACTGAGCTATTCGGGCCACCATTGACCTCCTGTAGGACTGGGTTACATGTATTGATTGATAGCTTGGTGGCCATGTTGCAAACATGATCGATAAGATTCGGTCTGCACTCAAGACTAGAAAACATGAATTTGGTTGCTCTCCCGTGACCAGTTAATATATCAATTGTGTTATATTCATTCGATTCCCTTCTAATCCCGTCAATCCCTCATTCTGAATGGTTAACTCGTCCGCTGAAACCTGTAGGTCATGCGGGCATACTGCTGAGGAGTACCCCCAGATTTTCAATGACTCTTCTCATCTCAAAATACATTAATGTATAGTGGTCACTGGTGACATACTTCGAGATAGATATCCCAAAGTTCTAATGAAAAAACTGTGATCTGTAGGGTCAACTAAGTCGGAACTGAAGTGGATGCCAACTGAAGGCCTTTGATGATAACCTACAAATTAACAGAAGTAAGAAACTGTGGATCATTGAACTCCGACCCAGTGCCTGAAAATCCGAAGGTCGTGGGTTCGATCCCTAGCGAGATCATAGGTGCGTACTGCTGAGGAGTCCCATACCAGGACGAGACAGCCGTCCGGTACTCCCACGTTTTCATTGATTTTGTAACTGATATCCTAGATATTGTCAGATGTTTCTTTTCACCACTAAATTGAATCACTCAAACTCGTGGTAGTTGCACTTTTATTGATTTGAAACGATTCCAAAGAATCCTAGCCAATGTAATTAGTTAGAAGACGTAGTTTATCTGAAAAATGTGGAGATATATGCTCCATACATTTCGAGCAATCTGATCACATATTTACTTGTTATTCAGGTGCTTTTTATGTGGAAATGGAACAAGGAAAAGTATGACAATTGAGAATGTTATAACAAGAAGGGTAATTAAGGGGGTTGGAGATTTTTCTTAGTGTCTAGTAGTGGAATCCAGCTTGACGTGCCTATCGTCCTACTTGAGACTCACTTATTGGACATACTTCCGTCCCAGTGAGTGATGTTTTTCGCAATAAGGCTCTAATCGAGGACCGATCTCTTAAAACGATAGATAATATCCATCATTAGTATAAAAATTGAGAATATCGGCAGTATCGAGACATTCAAATAGTCTCCCATATGCCAGTAGTGTCTAATCAGTCCCATCCAATCAATGACGGAGATTTACAAGCTATAAATATCAAATCTATACTCTTTTTAAGTTTGTATGTAAAGTGAACTTTTAGACATGGTTAAACAACTATGTACTATAGGTTCACATTTGTCATTTATGAGTTGAGAGGAATTCTTAGCTGTTTACACCTCCATAGATGAGATGAAGCTCACTGTATTGCCAATTGATTTAGTGTTTACTTCTTGAATTTGTTACTTCCATCTTTAATGTGTATTGTACACTGACTGTTTATCAAATCGAAATAATAAGGCTAATTTTAACTGATGAATCTCAAATGAGGCAAAACATGACTTATATATTTCCCTATTATTTATTTACCTTTCAGGGTGTTGATTCACCATCTCCCTTTTTACATGTTGAAGAATTATGTAAGTCATTGAAATATTGATTAATTTCTATTTGTCTCTTTCTTCTTTTTTTCCTACTTTCAGCGGATCCAGATAAAGCCTATCGTATATTTCTGAAAATCATACCTGTTATGATCTAATCCCATTGAGTGCTAAACTTGTAGTTTTCGATGTCACCTTGAATGTATGTATTGAAAATAACCAACAAGCGTGTATACAATAAATTAATCTTACTTTCTTCTAGGTGAAAAAAGCATTTTTTGCTCTTGTCTACAATGGTGTACGTGTTGCTATCCTATGGGATTCAATTGAACAGAAACATGTTGGCATGTTGACTATCACAGATTTTATACGTATCCTGCATCAGTATTATCGTTCACCGGATCAACCAATGACTGAATTAGAAAAGCATCAGATTAAAACATGGCGAGGTAATTGTTTTACCTTCTTTTTTTCTCTTGTTATTGTCATCGTCGCGTGATTATCTATCCTATTGTACAGAATTGCAAGACATGATCGTTAAAAGTAGAAAATAGGAAAGAGGTTACCATGTGAGCAATTTTGAGGTTAGGCGAAGAGTACTAGGCAAGGTAGACAAGTCGGTCAATGAGATTGTGAACTTTCATCGATTGAGGTGGATTGGATATGTGTTGCGTATATCGAGCCACCACCTACCTTGACGTGCCATGTTAGAAGACGTTGAGTTAGGTTGGAACAGGGCTCCAAGTAGGCTGACTAAGGACTTGACACCAGTGCATGAAATCCCCGACTGTTTATCTGAACCGTATAGAGAGGTGTAGACTGCCTGGATGGAGTGGCCTAGACAATAGGTCTTGGTGACATGGCTGAAAATCGGTCACAATAGCGCACTTGTGTTCACCCGTTTATGTTTCCTAAAGCTTGAATGCTTTGACTAACCTTCATTTTTAAATTACCTCTCCTCTCATACACCGTCTACTCTGATATTGGTCTTTTTCTATCTACCTGGTCCTTGTGTGCTACTGTCAAGTATGGCAACTTGAGTGAATGAAGTTGTATGAGAGTTGATATGTTGATTTTATCTGTCAGTTTGTCTATCGACAAGTATATAATTATGATTGGGATGTTTCGTCTGAAAGCTGACTATTTTTAACCACACGTTTCCACAATATAAATACAATACTCAATATTTTCTTGTGGTAGTAAATGGAGCAGATAGTTCTTTGGCTGTCCTTAAATTTTCAATAGGTCATTGATGTATATTATTTCGCCGCTTATTAATAATAGTGTGTCTGTGTAGATAGTATTCTTATTGTCCTTGAGGATTATTGGCTGATTTGGTGTGTCGACTTGTGTGACCTTGAATTCCAGTGGGTCACATACGCTAACACACTTTGTAGGCATTTAAGCGTCATAACTACAAATCGATTCCAGTGACGCAAATGGAATACACACTTAATCTTTATAATGTATTGTGCTTGAAAAGCCATTTTTTTCTCCCAATTTTCTCTTTATTCCTTTGTCTGTTTTCTCTTCATTTTTCCTGAGTACTACAGATATTATCATTTTGAATTAAGTATCTTCTGACTTGTTTGTTTCCATCTGGTGTTTTCCAAATATTTCGGTATAACCCCTTAAGTTGATATCTCAATTCTTATGTTGCTTATGTTTGTCTGGATTATAGTAACGGTCAATTCTTCTTTGTTCAGTATCTATGTCTGCTATAAATCTAATTATATACTTTACAAAAAGAAAGTACAGAACCTGAAATAAATTGAATCAGGGACTGTGGATGATTAACTGGATGCTCTCACTGTCTAGCTTAATTCTAATAAACCTCTAAGAACTTAAAGCATGAACTCTGTTAAATGATGTGACTATACCAGATGTTCTTCACATTTAGTCATCGCCTCCTCTGAACTACGATCACATTATAGTTAGGTGTAGGTCACAGAAAGACCTTTGAGTGATCAGAATATGACACAGAGAATGTGAAACATTGTGATTACGTTCAGCAGGAAGCTAGAGGTCTGTGATTAGAAACTCTACATGACTTAGGGAACATGAGAAGGCTTCAAGGTTTCGACCACCGTTGCCTTTATAGTATTACCCTTGTGTCGTGTATTCGCCATGTACAGTAACATAGAGTCTCAGGCAGTTGGTGAGGTTTCAAACATTTATCGATTTAGGTGACTGGAACATGTATCACGCGTACCTAGTCACTGAAAGGTTAGACATAAGAAGAATAAAATGAGGCGTCAATCGATAAAGTCTCTGACTATCTGTTTGAACCATCTCTGGAAATGTAAACTTCCCACTTGGGATCCACATAACGATCAAAATCACTCATTAGCTACCGTACGTGATATGATTCCTAAATTGATAGTCATTGACTATGAATGTAGTACGAAGTACTTACCTACTTCGACTTTTTCACATATGACATTGTAGTCTACTCCCGTAGGTCACTTCTTTGGAACGGTACAGCTCGTCTAACAAGTGTAACGCATCCCCGTATTGCAAAGCATTTTATGAACATACTAAAGCTTCTCACCTAAAAATCGGTCAGCTATTAGTCAACCTTACTCGCAGCATATTCTTGATAATGAATCATTGCTTTTCTCTTATTCGTTCTCATTATAAAATAACTGACTAGTAACATGACCGATACAAAACCTTACAGTCCTTGGTTCGATTCCGCTTGGCATGGTGAATATGATTCGTTTCTAGAATTGCCGAACTATAACAAAGCACCTCTCCAGTATTTCCTGGTTTTTTCATGCTTGTCAAGCTCAATAGTTGGATCGTGATGAAAATTGACACTATACAAAAGAGCAATCCAATCTCTAGCTAATGACTCATCACTCCGAAGCATTTAACCGGTGGCAACGGAACTTCTGTTTCATAGCTGATTGCCACTTGAGTGAGAACCAGGGCAAAGTGAATTCATAAATCTTGTGTACTACTGCAAGCGTACGGACGGTTTACACTCCTCGGCTTCTCACACTGTGGAAGGCTAGTTTATCTTTAGGTATCTGAAAAAGAAGGGATAATGTGTGACCGCGGAGCCCAAGGGACATCCACTTGACGTTAGTCACATATGGCCTTTTGGCAAGCTTCAGATTTTGACTTTCTGCTTTCAAATCCGACTATGAACCCCCAGTTACACGCATTGGCATGCTTGAGGCCTGTCATACCCAGTCTTTTGGTTATGGTTGTCTTGAACTTTTGTATTTTTGGGGCCGGATGGTCGAGAAGAAACGACAAATGAACCAACACCACTGGCCCGGCAGACCGTGGGGTATGGTGGAGTGTGTTATTTTTGGGGCCGACCTTTTCTAACTCCCTCTTCCACTGAGAAGGCAGCATCAGCATGGCACTGCTGGTCAGCCAAGGGAAACACCTCACTGCTGTCACACCCCATCCAGCTAGCAGCAGTACGACTTCGCCCTCAGACCCCCTATGGCTGCGTGGTAATTTACGCTATAACGGTTAGTGCTTTTTGTCAAACCACTATCGTAAAGACCTTTCTGGTGTAGAGTTTTAGGGAGTAGAGGTAAATCAGTTGACGAGGTTATGAACCTTCATCTACTGAGATAACTTTCTGGGACGTGTGTCACGTATGCCTAGTCACCGATTGCCTCGTCACACAATGTTGGACGAAGTAGGTCTAGGTTGGAAAAAAGTCCGAGGTGGCCAGACTAAAACATGGCACCAATGCATGAAGTGTTTGACTGTTAGTTTGAGCCATGTGGGGTGATGCAGACTAGCCGGTTGGGGTCCATGGGACAAGAGGTACCAGTGGTTAGAGGCTCTAGATGGTATGGCTGAGAACCGATGTCAGTGGCGCAGATGTATACATACATTATCCTCATCTTAACGGCGCTATACCGAATCTCACCATTTTCTCATTCTTCCTTTCTCTCTTTTCATACTTTATATTTCTTTTGACTGAATTTTTTTATCTTCATCTTGCGCTTCACTGCCTTTCTGCTTGATGTACTGAAATGAGATGTGTCTGGCAACCCGGACCCCTACGCAGTAATGTCTGGTCCTATGTTGATATTGATGATGATGATTTCTGGTATGATAGGACCTCGTGGAAACAAGTGTCTCACTAACATAGCTCATTGGATCATTGTGATATACAAGCCCGATCACGATGTCAAGGTAGCAGCTGTCGATCGGGTAACGAATTTCAGTCAACACCGAGATAATGCAACATTATTCAACGTGATCTCTTGTCACAGTGATCTGACCTAGATTTCTTTTATCGCTTTATACCTCAAAGATCAAACAGTTACTTTATTGTTATTTATTGACTCTTGTAATTCCCTGTTGTTATACCAGACTGGATTTATTGAGTTCATATGCTAAAAGATGTCAAACAGTTTGATCCAGGATAACAACGGAGAATTACAAGCATATCAACAAATAATGATAGCTAATACCCGCGTTGCACAAGAGGTTACTGTCGTTCCTCACTAACCTAGTGGGTAACGTTTTGGTGTCTGAAGCGATGTGTACGGGGAACATCATCACCCGTGAGGGTGTAACTGACAAGTCCTGAGTAGAAAGAAAAGCATATCCTGGGTTCCCCTGCTAACCGCCACCAAATCGATTATAACAAGATACTTCACTATATTCTGTTTACTAGCTGATGAAACCAGTTTGCTCATTAGTGTATTCATTTTGGAGGTTTGTGGAGATTTATTAATTGATTTTAGGTTGGAATTCATCATGGAGTGATATCAGTGTATTCATTTTTTCAGGGGTTGACTATAAATGATAGAATAGGCTTGTTTATACGTGTAAATTCTTGTCTTGACAAAGCCTAAAATGAGATAGCGCTAAACAGATCACAATTACATGAATACGCTTGCTTGTACACGTGTTGACAATTTCATTTTCGGTGAATCAAACCGTTGAAAAATAAAAAAACAATAGTAATTAATTTGACCTTTACCATAAACATTTTCAGTCACTATCAGTTTTCATACTTTTTTGTTGTTGATGCATTGAACTGTAAAGGCCATTCCAACCATTGTTAGATGAAATCATCAATCAGATTTCACTGCTTTGGTTAGGGAAGGAAATTTTTCTCATAGAAATACAGAAATCAAGTTGGTTATCCCCATTACTTGTTTGGGGTGGCCTTTAGAGTCACTCATTTGGATGGCCTATAAAGTGGAATATACGTGATGGGAACTGAGTTCAAGATTGTTGAGTGACTAGCAGAGGGAATTCAAGAGTCCGTTTGCCCATCAACCTACCCCCTCCCTTCCTCCATATTATTTTAGACCCATAACCAGCATTTCCTTGCTTTCATGTCTATTGTTGTCTCCATTGAAACTGTAATCCAGTAATCATCACTTCAAAAACGAAATCGTTATCCATTCGGCTAGTACTACTCTCGATATAGTCTTAATTTCAACTGTGGTTGATCTATTCAGACAGACAGATGGACAAAATCAACGTGGAACTCTGCAATCAAGTGCATTCGCCACACTTGACAATAGCATACAAGGACCAGGTAGATAGAAAAAGACCAATATCAGAGTAGACGGTGTATGAGAGGAGAGGTAATTTAAAAATGAAGGTTAGTCAAAGCATTCAAGCTTTAGGAAACATAAACGGGTGAACACAAGTGCGCTATTGTGACCGATTTTCAGCCATGTCAACAAGATTCTGCAACCAGTAATTCCTATCGTTTCTGTGACCCGAACCAGTCTACACCCCCCTTACGTGACTCATCTTACGTCTTAGTCTGGCCACCCTGAGTCTTCTTGCAACCTAATTCAACTTACCCTAGCATGGCGCGTAGAGGTAGATGGTGGCTTGGGACGTGCAGCACATGTCCAAACCACCTCAGTCACTCAAGCTTCACAACTTCACCGACTTTCTTTCCTTGCTCAGTACCCTTCGTCTGACCTCAACATTGCTCACTTCGTGATTCTACCAAACCATAGTAGTGCTACGAAGACACCTATAGTCAAAGGCCTGTAACCCCTTCATATTTTCTGCTTTTAACAACCATATCTCACAGCTGGACCCCTCTATTTGGTCTAAACCAATCAATAACGTGAAATGATAAGTCGTAATGGTAAATAAGTATGTTTGAAATGTATTAAATTGGCTAATATGAAAGTGGATTACATACCTGGTAGCTTTTATAAACAATTTTTATTCGTAGGTTTGTATACATTTGAATAGTCACTACCACGTCTGTTCTAGGCCATTGAGTACTAACCAGAAGTCCATACGTTCAAGTTTCAATTCACTTAAATCGATCTTGGCAGCCGGTTAGTTGTATTTTTGGCTATCAGACAACAGATTTGAATCTAATGTTGTCTGGTCTTATAGTAGAGTGATGAGTTATCTTTAAACAAATGTTATCTAGGCAGATAAGCTACCATATTTAACCGTAAATGACTGGCAGCTAATTCAACACTAAGGTTTTAGTGCCACAAACCTTCATCAACCACATGCAACAGCTATATGCCATACGATGCTACATGCCAAGTGATTCACAATGCAAAGCTCAGTGATGCCTCTGAAGTGAAGACAGGAGTAGGACAAGGTTGCCTACTATCACCGATCATCTTCCTGATTGTGGTCGACTCAACTGGACTGGATCAGGCAACAGAGAACTGTGAGGAGTGAAAAGATGGGCATACGCTAGCTAGACCGATGAAAGGACCCTAGAGGATTTGGATTTTGCCGATGATGATTTATGTCTAATGTCTTGTGGCGCAAACTTGAAGATCTACAGGCGAAAACTAAAAAGTTGGCAGAAGAGGTGCGGCGAGGCAGTGAGGGAAAACGGCACTTCCTTCAGGTGAATGTACAGAAGCCAGAAGTGATGAAGATACCTAACCAACAACAACAACGGGAGAAACCTAAAGGAAGTTGTCTCTTTCACCTACCTCTCTACCTAGGCAGCATCGTTTCAACTACAGGTGGTGGCGGCGGCACAGATCACGATGTCAAAGCCACGATCGGAAAGATAGCAAAACAGACCTTCATTAACCTTAAATTAGTGTGCAGATCTACTCCACTCCACTCCACTGCACTCAGCATAAAGTGTGAACAACATCCACATTCTCAACACTAATGACAGTCAAGTCAGTCAGTCAGTCAGTCAGTCAGTCAGTCAGTCAGTCAGTCAGTCAGTCAGTCAGTCAGTCAGTCAGTCAGTCAGTCAGTCAGTCAGTCAGCGCTTCTATGTGATTGTTGAGAGACTTGACGGTGCGTTACGAAAAAAAGCATTCCCAACAAACTACACACATACATCATCAACAGCTGATGCCTACGCTCGCTCACTCGGTACTGAAGATCAGATGAGATGGATGGCCAGAATAATAAGAATAAGCAACACAGAACTCACTGTGGCTGGCAACAAACAAACCAACCAACAACCTATCGCCCAATAAATATGCAGAAGAAAGTGGAGATGGATTGGATCGGGCATACACTGAGTAGACTGTTTGTGGACATCACGTGCTAAGTCAGGTCAGGTCAGTTCAGGTCAGGCCAGGCCAAGACGTCGAGTGGAAGCCAAATGGGAAACGAAAAGTTGGGCATCCGAGGCATGGGTGACGTGGAGGAGATCATGCGAGGAGGAAATGAAAGTTTGAGGGCAGTTGTGGAGCCAGGTTGAGAAGATTGTAGAAAAGGGTTGAAATGGCGATGTGCTACTGAAGCCTTATGTTCCACTAGAAACCCAATGGACAAATATTAAAAAGTAATAATAAAGGTAATCGTAAACAGTTAATCAAATTAAGATAAAAGTCTACATTTGATGCAGGGTGGTTTATGAGACTGTTTCCTGCAAAGAAGCATTACTGATTCACTCAGAGAGGTAACTGGAATATTGGAATTTAAACATTGAGAAAGAGTCAAACTGTCCACTAAGTTACCCTTGAGGTCATTATCACCATAGGACTAGGCATCACTGCTTAATGGTTCGAGTTGCCACACCATATATCGCAACATCAAGTAACAAAGTGGAATCGGTCCATGGCAGTAGAAACCAGTCAAAGAGAGGAAGTAAAAATGAGAAAATATTGAATTCATTATGAGGATTAAGATGAAAAAAAAAATGCGTGGATGCATCTCCGCTACTCATACCAACTCCAAGTCATGGCACCTAGAGTTTTCAATCACTCGTATCTCTTGTAACGCGCACCTTAACCAAGAAGTCTAGATTTGCCGACGCGGTTCGCATCAGTGGTCGAAGACTCCATGCAATGATGCCATGTTTTGATCTGACCACTCCTAACCTCTTTCCAGCCTAAGCCGACTTCAGCTAACATTGTGCAACTGGAAAAACAATGACTAGGCATGTGTAGCACATGCCCCAGCCACTTCAGTCGATGAGGGGTCACAACCTTATCAACTATTGTTTCTCTCCTGACTCCTACATTATTGGCCTGGTGACGCCACGATACACGACCTATGCTACGAAGATCGTTAACTGAAGCATTCGAATTTCAAGCAATTGATCCCAAGGTTGAATTCCGCTCCACCAACGTCGTCCTGGACAACCAGATAGTGTTATAAGCTGTCGAACAAAAGGTTTGTCTCATTGCCTAGTAAATAAACAAGTGTGCCAGGTTGAATTGGTGTTTAAGAAATTCTTTATGATTAGTGTGGTCGGTGATTCTTTGACGTACCTGACAACCATATTGCATTCATACAGATGACATGTTTCTTTCAAGCTAAAATGTTGGCTGAATGTTTTAGTCAGAAATTGGAGTATGTCTGGTATGCGTTTCCCCACCTGTCAAATGTGGAATTGTGCTTCAGGATTGACTTGTGCCAGTTGCTAGCCAAATTGTTGGGAATAAAGTAAGGGAACTTGCTGAATACTACACTTATAGAAGCTGTGTCAATCTGAATAGGCCGGTTGTTGACGAGATCTGAAGTTCAATAAAAAGAGACCCGTCTGACTTGGAGTTAACCCGAGCAGTGGAAATGCATCCAAACATTGTTGTTTTGCGCATTTTTTATCTCTTTGTCTGACTCTTTGCTGCTTTTTCATTACTTTCTTCCACATCCTTGTTGTGACATTGTTTCTTGATGTACTGATATGGGGTGTAGCAACTTGATGTGTTACTCAATAATTTCAGGTATTGCGTTGACCCTGACTAAGTGACTGATTTCGCAACGTATTTCTTTTGGGTCAGAATTCTTACGTTTTCATTTCTGAGATAGTCTTATTTCGACATGTTTGTCCTAATTTGGCGATAAGTTTCTGGGGATTTCATTGACTTTTGAGTTGTATGCATCCCGCACTTGAGATCAGACTTGCCGTAGCTGAAGTTTCGGGGAGGGGTGGGGTTGATGATGGAAAACTTGTGCCGCTGCTTAGTTCGTATCATACTCTAATTTTTATTTTACTCTGTATATAAAGATCAATTTCTTCCCACAAATACCGTCTGCTTTCCTTTTCACTCACCTCTTATGCGCATTTTTCTGTGCATTTCTCTGTAGATCAGCTAACCGAATATCAACGTTCACTGATTTTTATCAAACCAGAGGATACTCTACTAGACGCTGTGCGTATGTTACTGAAGCATAGAGTACATCGTCTACCCGTAATTGATCCAATTAGTGGAAATCCATTACACATACTGACGCACAAACGTGTTCTTAAATATCTACATATTCACGTAAGTGTTGATTAACATTGTTAGTTTATTACTATTGTTTTGTTGAATAGAGAGTGTAGTGGTTGAATGGGTTGACCATTCCACTCACGTAGGAAGTGGGATGAGCTCTGGTGGCTCAGTGGCCGATGAAGTCTCTGCTCACATGCAAAAGGCTCGGCTGGCTTTTGCCAACTTACGCCACATGTGGCGCCGCCGTGATATCCGTTTGTCTATTAAGGGTCACGTGTACTGCACAACAGTCAACTCTGTTTTACTCTATAGGTCTGAAATATGGCCATTAAAGGTGGAGGACATGAGAAGGCTGGCTTCAGGTGTTTGACCACCGTTGCCTTCGTAATATACACCGTATTCCGTGGTGTCATCACGTAAGTAACGCAGAAAGCAGGTGTAGAGTTTTAGGCAGAAGACTTAAGTCAGTTGACACGGTCGTGAACCTTCATCTACTGAGATAACTGGCTGCGATACGTATTACGTATGCCTAGTCGCCGATTGCCTCGTCACACAATGTTGGACGAAGTAGGTTCAGGCTGGAAAAAGGCTCGAGGTGACCAGACTAAAACATGACATCAATGTATGAAGTGTTTGACTGTTGGTTTGAGCCATGTGGGGCGATGCAGAGTAGCTGGTTGGGGTCCGGAGGAGAAGAGAAACCAGGGGTTGGAGACTGACTCTAGGTGATGACATGGCTGCAAACCGATGTCAGTGGCGCAAATGCATACACACATGTTATCCTCATCTTAACGCTGTTCTGAATCTCATCATTTTCTCATTCTTCATTTCTCTCTTTGAGTACTTTATATTTCTTTTGACTAAATTTTCTTATCTTCATCTTTCACCTTACTGTCCTTTTACTTGATGTAGTAATATGAGGTGTGTCTGGTAACTTGGACCATTACGCAGTAATGCTTATCCCTATGTTCATGGATGATGATGATAATGCTATTGTTTTGTTCAGTGGAATAAAACTACCGGTGGTTGTAGGGATGCTTGTGAACATCTTTACGTCTCTTGCTACTGTTATCTTCTTGACCTTATGATATGGCCGATGTTACTGGTCGTAAATTCAATTGTGATTCTATGTGTTATCATTGCCCTCCGAGTTGCTTTTTCCAGATCCCATCCTATTACCACTATTAACATCATAACAGCTACTATTGGGAGCTTGCAGACGGTTGACACTTCCTGGCTGCTATTTCTTTCTAAGGTGTCTAAAAGAGAAAAAGATTTGTGTGACCGTAGGGCCTATGCGTCATCTGCTTGAGGCCTGTCACACACGGCATTTTGTGGGATGTTGTTTTGAGGTTTAGTTGTTACACCGGAAGATCTTCTGTCACATCCCTTTCAGTTAGCAGCAGTACAACTTCACCTTCACACACCCCCATCATAGTGTAGTAATTTACACTTCAACAGTAACTACTTTTCGTCTTACCACAATCAAACAGACCTTTCTGGTATGATAAGACCTCCAGGGAACAAGCGTCCAATCAGCATAGCTTGTTGGGTCATTGTGATACACAGACCCGACCACGATGTCAAGGTGGCAGCTGTTGGCCAGGGAATCAGTGGTTGAGGACTCTTGGTGACATGACTGAAAATCGGTCACAATGACTCAGATTTATTCACTCCTTGATGTCTTCTAGAGCTTGAATATATACATTAACCTTTATCTTCAAACTGTTTATTCTCTTACGCAACTTTATCTGCTTCGGCACCACCCTTTTTCTATCGACCTGTTGTTTGTGTACTACTGGGAAGTGTGGCAACTTGCGGTGATACACCTGTGTGAGAGATTCTGCGTTGATTTGTCAGTCATTCAGTCAACCAACCAACCAACCAACCAGTCAGTCAGTCAGTCAGTCAAATAATCACTTATTTAGATGCAGAATACATAGAGGATGTATCGTTATAAGAATATATTTTAACGTATCATGCCTAAAAAGTATAGGTGATCAGAATGTCAACAAGTAAGAACAAATGTCAATGAAGCTAATATTTGTCATGCTGCTTAGCGATACGAAAGTACACTATCAACCTCACTCCACAAACCTCAATAAATAAACCTGTATGTTGTATTGAAGGTGTGACTTAACACTTGACGCTTTATTGCATAGTTCAGGGAAATTTAGTTATCAGTAAACTTTACACGGAATTTATTGTGTGAATAGGAGGAAATAGTATTACATCATTGTACGAAGTGATATTTGCGGTAGGTGGTGGTCAATCCATGCAATAACTTATTTGATAATATCATTGGAACTCGACTAATTTAAGTGTCTCCATTGGTTGAACGACAAGTCAAAACATTGCGTATTAGTCTTTAAAATTGTATGTAATTGATGGTTTTTTGTTGGTCAATAGGTTGTTACGTTATTATTGTTATCATTACTATGCTTTGTCCCTTGGGTAGCAGTAGCACATCGCCATTTCAACCCCTTTTCTACAGTCTTCTCAACCTGGCTCCACAACTGCCCTCAAACTTTCATTTCCTCCTCGCATGATCTCCTCCATGTCACCCATGCCTCGGATGCCCAACTTTTCGTTTCCCATTTGGCTTCCACTCGACGTCTTGGCCTGGCCTGGCCTGACCTGACCTGAACTGACCTGACTTAGCACGTGATGTCCACAAACAGTCTACTCAGTGTATGCCCGATCCAATCCATCTCCACTTTCTTCTGCATATTTATTGGGCGATAGGTTGTTGGTTGGTTTGTTTGTTGCCAGCCACAGTGAGTTCTGTGTTGCTTATTCTTATTATTCTGGCCATCCATCTCATCTGATCTTCAGTACCGAGTGAGCGAGCGTAGGCATCAGCTGTTGATGATGTATGTGTGTAGTTTGTTGGGAATGCTTTTTTTCGTAACGCACCGTCAAGTCTCTCAACAATCACATAGAAGCGCTGACTGACTGACTGACTGACTGACTGACTGACTGACTGACTGACTGACTGACTGACTGACTGACTTGACTGTCATTAGTGTTGAGAATGTGGATGTTGTTCACACTTTATGCTGAGTGCAGTGGAGTGGAGTGGAGTAGATCTGCACACTAATTTAAGGTTAATGAAGGTCTGTTTTGCTATCTTTCCGATCGTGGCTTTGACATCGTGATGTGTGCCGCCGCCACCACCTGTAATTGAAATGACGGAACGTTGAAAAATTAGCTTTTAAAAATGTTTGTTGAGAGTTGAATTCATCAAGGGAAAGTCGATATAAGTCGCAAATTGTTTTGGAGCATAAAAGTGGCCTAAATTTCGTAATAACTAAGACCTGGCTGGACAAATTTGACCATCCTTCTCCAACACGGTTTGTAAGTAGGTTTAATCGAAGTAGAAACGTCAATCCTATAGCCTGCCGTTTCAGCAATGTGTTTCACCATCGAAGAGGTATCAACATTTATGTGTTCAGGTCATTAGATTTATTGGAATATGATCCGAGCCTGTTACTAGCATCCATCTATGATTCTCCCCAATTTGTATGTCATCACACGTACATTTAAATCGGTTGATGCGATGGGCTATGTTATTATGGTGTATATACTGTAAGGGTTTATGAAAGCATATAAGTCTGGTGGTTTCTTTTATATCTTTTTGATGGTAATATTATGTCTCTGCTTGACGATTGAACCATAAAAGTCACTTTTGTACGAAGGCTTGGTAAAAATGTGTGTCTTCGCGACAGTCTAAAGGGTAAGTTTCAGCATTTCAATCGCTGTACCTATGGGTATTTATTTTCTGCTAGCGTTTCAGTTAACATTCTTATCTCGTCTTTCAAAGTATAATCTGTATGAATTCGTTGGATTGTTTCAAATGATCACCTGACTGATTTATGTCTAATGTCGCATAAGTTGAAGATCTACAGGCGAAAACTAACAAGTTTGCGAAAGAGGCGAGGCAGCAAAAAAGGACGGCACTTCCTTCAGGTGAATATAGGGAAGACAGAGGTGATGAAGATACCCAACCAACAACAACAACAACAAGCACCATCAACGAAAGAAACCTAAAGGAAGTTGTCTCTTTCACCTACCTCTCTACCTAGGCAGCATCGTTTCAATTACAGGTGGTGGCGGCGGCACACATCACCATGTCAAAGCCACGATCGGAAAGATAGCAAAACAGACCTTCCTTCATTATTCTGAAACCAATCAGTGTGCAGATCTACTCCACTTCACTCCACTGCACTCAGCATAAAGTGTGGATAATATCCACATTCTCAACACTAATGACAGTCAAGTCAGTCAGTCAGTGCTTCTATGTGATTGTTGAGAGACTTGACGGTGCGTTACGGAAAGTATTTCCAACAAACTACACACATACATCATCAACAGCTGATGCCTACGCTCGCTCACTCGGTACTGAAGATCAGATGAGATGGATGGCCAGAATTATAAGAATAAGCAACGATGGGCTTAATCTGGCTGGTGAGGAACCAACTAAGAAGCTATCGCTCAACAAATGTGCAGAAGAAAGTGGAGATGGATTGGATTGGACTAGGCATTTACTGAGAAGCAGAATTAGGAAATATGTATGATTGGATTTCAACCCCCTTGGCTCAATGGTAACGTGTTGGTCAGGGAATCTGAATTTCCTGAGTTCGACCCCTGGTGTGGGTACTCACTGCTGTAGGGCTCTCATACTAGTGGGATGAACTAGCTGCCTAGTGCTCTCAGCTTTCCATTGTTTCTCCAATTGATGGCAGTCCATGATGAATACCAATCTGAAATCAATAAGTCTGCACAAACCTCAAAATTGGGATCTTTAGTTTTCAAAGAAATCACTAATTTCTCATTTTGTAAAATAGCTTCCCTTGAAATCCACTTATTATGTGCTCAGTTTTATCTGTCTTTGTTCTGTGGTAGTGTCTCTAACTGTAATACACCAGGCAGCCTGCCTTCTAATTTCGTAGAATATTCCCCATCAGGGGATTCACAGATGAGTGTTTCTGTCGAATACTAAAAAGCAGGAAGCCTAAGTTCAAGGATCGGTTTTGATTACCTCCAACCGC